GGACGCGCGCCCGCGATCGGAAAACCCCCCTCTCCAAAAAAAAAAAAAAAAAAAAAAAAAAAAAGACTCTGATGCCAGGACAAGTAGCCTGTGGAACTCTGAGAACATTTAGAAATGTAACCCTATTCTTTTCTCTCACCATTGGAGTGGGACTTACAAGGAAGTGCTGTTTAGAAATGTAAATAATTCACTTCTGAATCACAACACAGACACAGAAATGAAATGAAAAAGGACTTTGGTTCAGACTGGACAAGTTCGGTCACCCTTAAAACAGGCCTTGAGTAGATAAAGCTGAGTCTGAGGCCCACCAGCATCTGAAAAGTGTAGTGTGAGAGAAAGCCATTACTGTGAAGCCCATCTGCCCAGGATTTAGTGACTTCAGTTATGAGACTGCCAACAAAGGAAGAAATTAAAAACAAACAAAGACTAGAAATAATGGAGAAAGTGAAATTTTCTTCCAGAAGTTCAAAAGCCTAGTGGGAGAAGAGAAATATATCTGTAGCCTAGTGGTTAAGAGACCTGGATCCCATATGGCTGACCAGTGTTCAAATCCAGGCCCTGGTACCTTGAAAAACATGCCTCGCATGTGTGTGCGTGTGTATAGCCCAAACCCGCACAGTTGGAGAAATGAGGGAGATGGGATTGTGGTGTGACCATGCCTCATTGGGGGATGCTTTCTTTCTCTCCCTCTCTGTCTCTCTATGACAAGGACACATGCCCTTGTGCAAGAAAGAGCCAGCAGGTGGCATGGTGGTTGAGATGCTGAACTCCCAAATAGCCGACCACAATTACAGTTCTGAACCTGGTGACTTACTTTCTCATTTTCCCCCTCTCTGTCTTTCTCTGGTGAGTGCATGTATCATATAGCAAATTAAGAAAAAAAAAAAAAAGGAAAATAAAATAAATCATTCTTTGAAAAATGTTTTTGTAAGAGAAGAAAAACAGCAACTCAAGAATGCAGACAGGCTGGACAAAAGTAATCAGACATTTGAGTGGAACATTCCTTTTTGCTCTTTCTGATTTACCTATGTCACCAAATGAGTCATAGTTTGGTGCCATTATGGTTAATAAAAGAGGAAACAGTGAAGCCTGAAGCATTGAAAAGCAAGCACCAGCACACACACAGGTGGCCAGGTGTGGGGAGCCAGGAAAGAGACCTTAACATCATAACTGTAAGGCTTTAAGGACATTGGGGTGGTGATCGGTATGTCGAAAGATACATCTAGCCTTGTGTTACTTTCTGACCAAAGCAGTTTTAGAAGACAAATTGTTTACTTGCGTAATTTTTGCCTTTCATAGGAAGTGATACTTAGAAATGTGCTGATGTTTACTAAGAGAAACTAGTTTTAGGCAATGCTCAGAAATGACCTTTCCACCCATGTCTGAGGTCAGCGGCAGACTGTTACAGGAGTTCAAGATCCAAACTGCTTAGCTCTCAGTAATAACTGGGTAGACTATGACATATTCATAATATTGAATATAGCACAGTCAAATTTCAACCTTCTGGGAAAGAAAGGCAGATAAACTCATCATGAATTTACTTAACTTTAGAAAGAGAATCTAATACAATAACTGAATTTTAGATAGAGGAAAAATTAACAGTTTAAAATACTCACTAGGAGACTATTTAAAATTATTCCTTCTACTTGTTACATACCCACTAGGTTCTAAGCATTTTCCATAAACAATTCCTTTTAGTCTTATAATAACTCTTATGGGTTTTTTAAGACCCCTTTCAAAAAAAGGTTAAGTAACACTTGGCCAAAACTTTATAAGTAACACGTGCCTCAGGCAGTGTGGTGGTACAGTGGAAGTGCAGCCCTGAAATGCTGGAAGCCATACAGAAGATCCAGGGTTTGGATCCCAGATCAATTTCTGCTGCCAGGTAGACATACCTGTGATCCTAACTGGCTGGGAAAGTGTAGCATGAAATATGGTTTAGAGTGTTTCTCTCCACCCCCACCCCCTCAACCTTCCTCTCTTTTCTCTCTTTCTTGTGCTTTTCACCAAAATTCAAGACTTTTGGGGCAGCCAGTAGCATAGTGGTTAGAGCAACTGGATCCCCATGGGCAACTGCACAGTTCAAGTCCTAGACCCGGCAGCTTGAGAAGCAAGTCAGGTGAATGTGCATGTGCATGTGCATGTGCACTCCAAATCCCATGAGAATGAAGGGACCGTGGCAAGGTTTTCCCTGAGGGGGTGGGGTGGGGCGGTGCTTTCTCACTTCCCTTCTCTCTCTCTTTGATGAGTACATGTGCCCTATGGCAAATTAGAAAAACAAGAACAGCATTTTTACATAATGTAAATAACTGTCAAAGAAAAAGAGGTAATTAGGGATAGACAGGGGGGTAAGCAAGTGGAGTTAATATCTAGCAAACTGAAACGTCACCTTCAGCCTCCGAGTCACCATGGAAAGATAAAATGAAGAGCTACTGATTTTGAATGAATGAATATTGAGATCGGTATCATTCAATGACCTTATTCAAAATCCCCCATTATATTTATACTTATGGCTGTGTGTATACGTGTATTCGATTCTATTCCATTTTATTACATAGGCAGGTTTGTGTAAATACATGGTCTATACATGAAAACAGCCACATCACTACATGATCTTTCCTGTTGCCATTTTATAACCACAGCCACCTCTGCTCTTTCCATCCTCTCCCATGTCTAATTCTGACAATCATGAATCTAGTTTCCATCTCTATAGTTTTGTCATTTCAAAAAATGTTACATAAATGAGATGGTACAGCTTTTAAGCTCTCGGTATATATTATATTCACTATAGGGCACATGCCCTCACCAGAGAGAGAGAAGGAAAGCGAGAAAGCGAGCTGCCAAGTCTGGGGCCTGGGTCCCGTTCAGTCATATGAGAGTCCAGTGCCTTAACCACCACACCACCTGCTGGCCCTGAATTGTTCTATTAACGAACAATGTAATGATTCAGGTGTAGAGAGTAGGATAGGCCTTAATGGCCTGTTACGTTAGTCTGTTTCCAAGAGATGTCTGAGTAACTAACCCTTGTCTGGTTCAGAAATGCATTAGAGTTGGACTGTGTTAGCCTGGAAGGCTGAGTCATCCCTGGAGTTATTCTGTATTTTGATAAGGTCTATCTGACCCAGATGAGTGGGTTTTGCACCTATCAAAAGCAGCCAGTGTGAAGAATTGCTCCAGCTTTACAAAGCACTGCTTAGAACGGAATATTGAAATTTCTAAAGTTCTCCCCAGGCTCTCATTCAGATGAAATAAAGCTCAGTGAATCATTGTGAAGATTCTGAAGTCTGAAAACTTGACCTCAACCTGAGCTGGAAATGAGACTGATGACTCCACCCTGTATCCAGACCTTGATGACTTCCTGCTGCATTTCTGTATCTTTTAGATAAGCAAATGATTTATTTACCCAAGTATTGGATCTTCCTATCCATCCCAGCCTCCTCTTGGCATTTGTCCATGCTATAAATATTATCATCGAGTAGGTAGACTAGTGATAGCAGGGAAGTTGACCCAAAGACCCACACCCATTGTATCTAAGTCTCTGAGAGAAATGTTGGACTAATGAAGGACAGAGGTATGCTATGGTGGAGGCCAGGCGATTTAACCACTCAAGGTTTAACAGAGTTAAAGCCTTGAGATGCATAATAACAAGTAGACCTTGGAGGTGTGGCATAAAAACTATACCCTTAACTCCCAAGGATCTGATCCAGGGAAACGATGTTGAAATGATATAGAGAGCAACAACCAAATCTAATACCCTAGGTGTTTTGTTGTTGTTGTTTTTTGTTGTTTTGTTGTTGTTGTTGTTGTTTTTTGTTTGTTTGTTTTTACTGCACTAATGCAAAAGCAATGAACCTATAGAGGGAGCCAAAACATCATTGATGAAATTTCTGGATTCCGGAACTTAACAGTGTTCCAACTGGTGACAAAGTAACCTAAGAGATATCAGATGTAGTTGTAACAGAACAAAAAGTGAAGGCCAATATAAACATTGAAAAGACAGATTATGTTGTAAAAGACCAATTTCTCCTGTATTTGAATCCATTGTATTTCCCCTCCCCCCCATTCACTAGGGTACAAATGATCCATTTTCCTGCCAATTTTTCATTTAGTTTTTATTAAAGTATATTATATATTTTAAAAAGTGCAATGTGTTAAGTATAGAACTATTGACTTTTCACACTGTGACTTATCCACATAACACCATCTAGATGCAAAATCAAAACATTATCATATACACACACCATATATATGTGTATGTATATATATTCTATATATATATATTGCATATATATATATATAGCATATATATATATATATATATATATAAAGAGCGAGAGAGAGAGAGTATATAGAATATCTGTATAGTGCAGTCATACATCACTTAACAATAGGGATACAGCCCGAGAAGTGTGTCGTTAGGTGACTTGTGTAAACATCATGGAGTCTACTTACACAAACCT